GTGCCCCCGATGCTGACGACGACGACGACAACGACGACACCAACGAGGGTGATGCTGAGGACGACGATGACGAAGGTGAACGCCATAGCATTCTGGTAGCCCAAACATCCTGTCCGCTTACAGTGGCTATGTGCCATGAGCAAGGATATGCGTCGGGGAAAATCTTGATGGCAGTGCTGCCTGCACCTCAAAATTTCGAACTCACCATCACAAAACAAAACCGAAATTCATTGGACTTGCCCGTTTCAAAACAGAGAGTACGTGCAGCAATGGCCTCGAGGGCATCGACCACAGAGGCGAGATCTGTTGTTCGCTCGGGTGTGGCCAGTGCGGAGGTCCAGGATGCGACGCTTCGGGCGCTTCGAACGGTCTCGGCGCTGAGTCTTGCTGCCCACCAGAGGTGCACGATAGCGGCAGATACTGTGACGACACCAACGAGGCCCCGTGTATCATTATAGCCGACGACGACCACAACGACGACGACGAGGACGACGACGACGACCATAACGACGACAACGACGACGATAACGACGACGATAACGACGACGACGACCACGACGACCACGACGACGACGACGACCACGACGACCACGACGACCACGACGACCACGACGACGATAACGATGATAACGACGACGACGATACTGCCTGAAGGGGGAGTATGAATCGGAGACCTAAACGTAGAGCGCCACATTTTTCTTCACCGTCAATCTCGTCCTATTCCGGGCGGATGTCTGCGCATTTTTTTAACGACCACCTGTGCGGTGGCATTTTCCATCAACAACAGCGGGATCGTGTAAGTGGGCGATGGTCGCAAGTGCATTCCCATCGACCGGGGGGCAACTAGTGTCTCCTTTTTGTTTACGTTGCAACCTATTGTCTCGCCGGATCCTCGTTGCATTGTTGCTGCCTGTGGAGGGAGTGTTTTGAGGTATTCAGGCGTCGTTGCCACGTACCACTCATCAAGCGAAACTGTTCGTTGCATTCTGGTAGTCTAGGAATAACCATTTAGCCTGTTTCGAGGCCCCCCTTTTTGAGTCGAGGCCACGTCTTACGAGACGCGAATATGCCTCTGAAGCAGGACCGAAAGTCCGGACAAGTTTTTGACTCGGCTCATTAACCCTGAAGCGTGCACTGCCTCGCATGACGGGTGCCTGCACAATGTTGATACTATTTAGTCTACAATAGTTGCATGTTAGGTTTTTTTCAGCTGTTTTTTTGCTCAGGTATGGGTGTGCAATGCACGTAGGGAGGTGCTTTTTCTTTACCCCATCGACAACGTCGTCAATCGTTTTACAACCCGTTGTGACGGTGTTGCTTAGTTACCCATCTCGTAGGAGTACCGCTACTGCGGTATTATGAGTATGGTGTCGATGAAGTATATAGGCATTACTTTCTTTTTGCGAAGCAGCATATACTGTAGTACAATATGCAGGTCTTGTTTTTGGTGTTGGGTGATGTTGGCTGTTTCGTGGTTTCGAGGAGACACTCACGACACATGCGGAAGATGTTTTTGGTCGTGATGCGATTTTGGTCCACCACCGCTCGAGTTTGAGTTGATGTTTTGAAGAAAAGCTCGATATCGTGTCCGCATGCATGTACTGCATAGTCAGGGTTACGTGTCAAATTAAATTAATAGTTTAAGCCTGGGTGCGCGTTTAAAGCCGACAGGTTGTTTGTTTTGTTCGGCACGACGGGTGGGTCTAGTCAAATAGCACGAGAGGAGCGTGTGAGAATAGGTACATAATGGAATGCATCGTGCACGTGAGGGTTCGCGTGAGAGTTCGGGGTCGTTTGTGTACCCGTAACATACTGTTTCCGAGAAGCACTATCTTTCATAGAGGAGGGGGGGGGTGGCCAAGCCCTATTCGAATTCGAATTGTAAGAAGAAACTCAGATGTGTCTCGCATCTACAGTAGTTCGATGTGCCCATGGACAACCTCCTGTCCAAAAGCGGAACCTTCTTGTTTCTCGCGTCGACTGCTAAACCTCTGGGCCTTCGCTAGGATCGAGATTGATGCTCCTGGGTTATTCAGTGACTGGAGAACATGCATCTCTGCATGGTTGGATGGTTGAACTGATGATTTTGTTGACACAAACGGCCAGATTTTGACAGCCGTTTCTGGTGGCTTGTTTTCCTTTCTCGACGCACGCGTTCTTTCTGCTGCGTCTTTCAGCGAAGACCAAATTCAGCAGGCACCGCTTCGTCGTGTTAGTTACAATATCACTGAAGGATTGTCGGAGTACTACCAGAGACGGACACATCTCGAGGAGATGTCCTCGACCCCTTTTACCAGCCAACCAGGTCCATCCCCCGACCA